AGCAATAAAAATCCAAAATGCACTATCACATGTGCATAACCAAAAAAAAAACAGCATGCACCCACATTTTCCCCACTACCTATCTATATGAGCATAACTAACAAAAAAAAAGTCCACCCCATGTACACCATCTAACATATATATGCAAACAATCCTAAAAAGATGGTTCTACCCCCATGTCAAAATATCTACTGCCCATACAACAAAAAAATAACCATCAATATCGTTAGCATGTCAAGTGTCACCAGTTGCGGTTTTTGAAATAGTTGTAACTGATGAGGTCGAGTCTTCATCAGTTGGAGATGGCAATGGCTGTCGAGTTGGAGCTTTATAAGATTGCTGTAGTTCAAGGGCTATAGTTACCTGCTTCATCATCTCCAACAGGACAAATTGTTGGTGTTCAAGGCTTTTTATTTTCTCCTTTTGTTGATCAAATAAGATGAGTTGCTCCTCCAACTATTTAATTTTATTTTCTTGTTGTTGCACAATGCACCTTAACTCTGCTTCTGCTGTAGTGGATTGATGCTCAGTCTATGAAAATGCAAAATTCTGGTTAAATCCGGAAGCTTTACCCAGAACTTCCTCACATGTTTCAGCTTCTGTTTTTTCACTTTCCCCTGCTTTTGTTTCATCTTGCAGTTCTATCATTTTTTCCTACTATCAATTGAATGCATAATCAAAAGTCAACCAACAAACTAAATAGAAACATAAAAGAATACTGTAGCACCAAACAAAAATAAATTTGATGGAGTAGAGAAACAAGTATCTCAAACATTATCAATCTAATACTAAAAGACAAATTCTGACATAAAGTTTTTTTATTGAAAACTGTGAAATTATATGTTTTGTCGTTTATTACCATTACCTAATGGAGGTCTGGATTAAAAAAAAGTGTGAATGTCAACATCTGAGGATTTTCTTATACACATATAAGCAACAAATTTACAGTCACATATCCATGCATAAACATTCTAAGTAATTGGAAAGATAAGGGCTGTTGCATTTTGTAAATATCATAAAAGTGATGTGGCAAGGCTGCTATGGCGATACGGAATGGAAGTTGATTAGTTCAGTATTACTCATCAAGAAGTATAAATCTGTACATATGGATTTCCCATTTTCAAAGTGTTTTAATTCTCCAAGAGGCAAAACAAAGTCATGGTTCTCTGCCATTGCTAGCAGAGCTCCCAAGGACATACACTACCACACTATAAAAACTCCACTAACATACATGATCTTCAGCGATCATGAAGCTGAATTGTTCGAAAATAACAAAATTCATTTCAGAAGATGATGTGCACAATTTTAAATCATTATGATTTAGGTGGTTTCAATCAAGTTGAATCTCAATTCCATGGAGGAAGACTTCACACACACACACACAAAAATTAAAAAAAAATATATAAAAAAAAAATCTAATCTCATCCGTCCAAGTTCAGCGATACGACATTCAGATTATAAATTCGGACAATAATATCTAGATCATAAAATCCTCAATAGAATTAATCCAGACCTCCATTAGGTGATATTTTAAAGTTACATATTTACTCTGAAAATAAAATGCTCTTAAAGGCTCCTAAAATTGCACTTTTAGTTATAGCATGTCCCTAGGATGGATGACAACTGACGCAAAAATGCTTAGAAGAAACTTTGAAATATCTACATAAACCATGAAACAGGTTTTTCCTACTAGAAGAAACTCCAATTTTTTGCTTTAAAAAATACAAACTGTTAAGTTTAATCAAGAGAAACAATGTAACACAAGTTAAATTTCAGTCTTATCTTGCAATGTTTGTAACATATCAATAGCAAACCATAGCAAAGTTAAAAGTTTGGTAACACTCAGGAAAACTAAATGCCAATATCAAACAAATGCACAAGCACCATCATAATTACAGGTCAAAAGATGACAGAGAAATGCAATGAGACTCAAATTAAAACAATAAAAGCATGGCAGTATGGAACAGTTACTGAAAAACAATACATTTATACCCAATTGAATGGTAAGACATTTCATATATCGATAATTGAAAGATGATCAACTTACATATAGCTCTCTTGCTTGTTCATTAATCCACCCTTTCTCGGCACTCCAACGAGTATCATGAAATAATTGTATAGGACCGACAGATTCCCCAAGTTGGTGCACCTTAACGGTTCATATCGTCAGTGACCATAAAAACAAATAAGTAAACAGGAAAACAAAGTTGTATATTTGTATAGGTGAATCGTATTAAATACCTTTTCCTTTTTGTACTGGATAAAGTTCTTGGAACCACTGCGATGTTTACACCTCATCTTCGACTGGTTCTCAGAATAAGTTTTTCAAATATACAAACATAGAAAGCAAGTTCCTGTCCTTTTAAAAATGACCAAAGGCTAGCGCAAACATAATTATTTTCAATATAAACTTCTTATTGACAACTCCATTAATGATTATGACATAGATCAAAGACCAAAGGTATACTTTGGAAACTACTTGATTTCCCGAAATAATGTGATCAAATGGTAGATATCTTATCATATCTAATTCAAACCATTGTGGTAAGTGGTGCAAGCACGTAAACAAGAAGGATAACAGGTAGCCGACAATATTCAATTACTATAAAAGACAGAAAAATGGTCAGTTACTTCTTCAATTTCGTAAAATAAATCATAATAATTGATTTTCACACCTTAAGTACTTAAACCACATAATAAGTATGGACCATGGCCGAGTGAAATCGAAGATCAATTACTTTCTTCAATGATATCTTTTGAGAGATTAAAAATTTGTAAGGCTCTAAGATAAACTCAAAAGCACTCTAATGGCCAAATATTCTATATGACAGATCTTTGTTATTTTATTAGATTTAATAAGTATGGCCTAGAGAGAAAATGAAGGAAAGCTTAAGAAAATTCAGCCAAAAATGAATTGGTTTTACAAAAATCTATGGAAAAACCAATACTTAAATTTGCAAAAAATTTGGAAACGGTCATATGCTTTATTTTTCCAGCTCAGGAATATTTTATAGATACCAATTTGGATGGAAGCCCTCTTATACCTAACATACTGACTTTTACACGTCATACGTTTTAGTGACTTGTTGACATGGACAATTTATTCCGCTTACTACTCATCATTTCATTAGAAAAAGAACTACATACAGATACCAACTACTTGTCATATACACAAAATTTTAACTCCAACATAACCTGTCCCCCCTTATTGTTCTTTTGCAATGCCTTCTTTGTACAACTGGTGCTGATTATATTTCCCTTTTGTAGCAAATTTTACGCCGATATTCACAAATAGCTTTGTTGCCTACAATATCTGTTTCATAAATATATGGAGAAGACTATTCATTTATAAGGCATATATGCAGTCATCTGATTTCTTATCTCAAAAGATCATAATCCTAATAGCCAGAAAATAAAAAGTCTTGTTCAAAATAACCTTCAAATGCATGTTCCTCTTTATTGATTAATAAAATCTTTTCTTCAAACACATTTTCTTCTTCTTGATCTCTCAATTTACTTCAATTCTTTCCCTATGTAGTTACATACTGAAAAATCTATTTGCCTAGGAGAAGGTACATATGGCTTCTTCTAATGAGGTTGTGAAAATCATTCTTCAGATAGTGTATTTCATACGGGTTCTGATTTAGAAGATAGTGAACTTATTTTCTCCACTGTTCACTTAAGGTGCTTGATTTTCTTCTTCATCTTATTATTCATTATTTCCCCATAAATACAAACACGGCCCCAATGCAAGTGAATCCCAATACTGTAAGGTTTTGGTAGCAATGTTACTTCTGATCAACATGGATAAGTACAGATATTTGTATGAATCTAAACTCCAGGAAAATAGGATACAAGATGGAGTGATTCAATCTTACCCCTCCTTTGAAAAGATATAACACTTTGGCTTCGTTAAAGGATTGATCTTTCCAAAAGGAAGAGGAGAAATAATCCTATAGCCATTAAAGGTAATGAGATTGCTAGGAAATGGGTGATCCATAGAGAAAACTATGAATAACAAGATGATGTAAAAAATCTGGCGGCTAAGAGCGCTGCATCAAGGAAAAAGGTTAACCATTTTCCAAATGAAAGCCCTTGTGAATCTCTTCCTTCTGATGATAACACTTGAGCTTGATTCTCTTAGATAATTTGCATAATAGCCACTGGAGAAGGCACTTGATACCTTTCTAAATCATAATATATCTACTAATCTTAATCTATAACAAGAATGCAGGACAAAGAATAGAAGAAAATCAAAAGATAAAGATGTAGAACAAGTGTTTGAAGAAAAGACCACCTAAAGTAGTAAATAGGAAAAAGGCAATTGAAGTTTATTCTTAACTAAACATTTCCTCTTTTCCAACTCAGGATGCTTTCCAACTGAAGAAAAGGAAACCTTCGCAAACCATATTGAGAAGGTATAGTAAAGATAGGCATCAATTTGTCATGTGTATTGTATTACCTGTTGATAATTTCCTGCCTAAGACAAGGGTTAATAAGGGGGAATTGTGAGAGCTATAGTTCTATGTACATGTCAAGTAATTGTTATGTGTATAACATTCTTTTTAATTCAAACATTTACATATTGAGAAGAATAAAGAATAGACATCAACATGGAAGAATCAATATGATTGCCAATAGGAGAACCTTTCTTCAAATACTATGAAGGCTTTTCTTCAAATTTTGTTATCTATAAATGCAGCTAATGAAGAATAAATAGTCTAACACTTATAACTTCAACAAAAGTCTGAGCACAAGTTTCTTCCAGAGAATTCTCTAGAATCAATTCTTTTGATTGAACATTGTTTCATTTCCTACATTTCTCATTGACTGTTCCTATTAAACCTGATAAACTAGAGTAAATCATATATGAATAAATCCGACCACAAAATAAACATGGGCTGAAATAGGCCAGAAATCCTAATATTTCCTTCTCTTTTCAGACATACAAAATGACTAGCATGGAAAGGCATGGATGAAAATTAAAGCTCAAATATTGACTAACCATCAAAGGAAGCTTTAAGAGGGCCGACGAACTCAGGAAATTCAATTTCTTCAATTGCTTTTAATACATCATCAGCATTAGTAATTTGCCTCTTTGACTCCTTGCATATATCATTAGCCCCGCAAGTAATATTCACCCCATAAACACTAGCTCACAACAAAAATTCATACCCAAATTCTCTTAACAAAAACTTTGTACTAAAAACACCAACGTCATGCTGCAAAAACCACATAAGAGCTTCCATATAGTCATCAAATCCCAAGCAGTTAATTTAATTTAACCAATACCCACTTGACAAACCTTCCAATCATCAAACTTTCAAAGAAAAAAATTGAACTTTTGTGATAAAATTTCAAAATATCCAAGATTCACCTAAGAATTAAATATAAAAACTCTAAATGGGTGAGTTGAAACAATGAGATGGTTGGTTATTGCTTACGTGGCGGAGAGGCAGTGGATAAAGATACGGGCGCTTTCGGAGAAAGCGAGAAGGGAGTCTTTGTTGACGGTGATGTCGGTATTGGGTGAACACTCATTGAGCTTATCCTTAACCACTCTGCGCACGATAGTCTTGGGCAGCTCGTCCATCTCTGATACCACTTTCTCCATTTCCATCTCTAAAGAAACCTTTGCTTTTTTGTTCAAATATTCTGTCAAAACAGGGTCGGTTTTCCATCAGAAATCAAATCTATTCCATCAAATATAAAAACATAATTTACTAATCAACAACACAAATTACTATAAACAAGAAAACGGTATGAGGAGAAACATGATCTTTCTCAAAATCACCTATAAATATTGTACATTACCAGTTTCCTAACACAATACATACCAAGTCTGACGTGGTCCATCAATCCATCAAATAAGCACTAACTGAAACTTCTTCTATTGGGGTAATCGCTAGGGATTTGCGTGGAGAAGAAATTGGGAATTTGGGGAAACAGGGAGGATTTGCGTGGAGAAGAGAAGAGGTAGGTAAGGTTATGAGATTGGGGATTTGGGGAGATAGGTAGGGATTTGCGTGGAGAAGATTGGGAATTTGGGGAAAGGCTTGCCTTATATATGTTCGGGTTTTCTGAAAATAACTTTAAAAAGTAAGACTTGTAATTAGTTGTTTAATTTTTAAATATAATTATATTTTGCATAGTTGCAAGTTGGCGGGAACAAATAATTTGGGGGAAAGATGAATTTTTCAACTTAAATTGGCAATTAAACTGAATTTAGTTGTTGTATATAATTTTTTGTAACTATTGTTAATATGAACACAAACATTTGTTAATAAAAATGCCTTGGGGCCCTTGTAATTATTGTCCAAATATGGGATATTTTGTAATTTAATTTTTCTGTAACTAATCATAATAGTTACTAATATATTCTTAATTAATCGCAACTAATTTAGCTACAAAGGGGTAGTTGCAAAAAAATGTTTTTTGTAACCAATAATGTAGATGCAAAATAAAATATTTTAGATGCAAATTGTCAAATTATAGAGGGAAAAATGGCCCACCAAAAATTGCAACTAAATTTATTAGTCACTAAAACAATTTGTTCTGCAACTAACAAAATAGTCGCAGAACATTAACTTTAGAAGCCAAAAGTTAGAATATGTGGACCCCAAAATTGAGTTGCTCTTTGTCCGACCAATGGCAATTTAGTTGGTAAATGCAGTCTTTTTGTAACTAATTCTGGTTAGTTACTAAAAAATTGGTTGCAGAATGTAGTTTTTCTTGTAGTAACGGTGGAGGCTTCCATCAATTATGTTGTTGTACTGACCGCTAGCTGGCTGCCATGCATATTCATTGGCACCCAAAAGATTCAAGTGCTTGAAAGTAGGTTGTGCAAAAAAATCCGATATCCGATATCCAATCCTAATCCGCTTCGATCCGCTCCGAAAAAATCAGATATCCAAAAATTCGGATCAGATACGGATTGGAATTTTAAAAAATCCAAATATTCGGATCGGATACTGGATCGGGATTATTAAAAAATCAGATATCCGTATCTAATCCGGATTTTGCTAAACTATGTCGTTTTGAGTTTTAAAAATTAAAATAACCCTAACACTAATAGTCTAACACAAATCAATTAAATCAACTCTCTCACTCTCTGTCTCTCTTGTTCGAACACGCAGTCATGCACAGCCTCTCACAGTCTCACTCTCTCAGACCAGATCTCGTCTCAGTCTCTCATTGTCTATCTCTCAAACACGCATAGCCTCTCACTCTCTCAGACCAGATCTCATCTCAATCTCTCACTCCGTCTCTCTCGCTCAACTCTCTGACTCTCTCGGTCTCTCTCGCTCGAACACGCACAGACACAGACACACATAATATGGTGCCTTCTCTCTTTGTCCCGGTTACAAACCTTCTATTGTTCATTAGTATTGATTTGCGTTTTGAACCTATTACAAGGTTGATGGAGCCTGGGTTTAATTCAAACTGTGCCGATTGGGTTTGGTTTTATGTGTGTTTCCAAAGATTGTTGGTGGCTGGATTTGATTCAAACTTAGTGACTGGTTTGATTTTGTTTGTTTGATTTGTGTTTGTAATGGCTGCCGTGGTTAATTTGGGTTTGATTGTGTAATCTGAACACTATAGTGATGAATATTGTCAATGCATGGCGCTAGCTAAAGTAAATTTTGACCTCCCTTTTAGTTGGAAGCATCATGGACGTTTTATTTATGCATGTCAAATTGTCAATTGTGTTAATTTCAGCATATTGTTGATTGTTTGATAAGTTATGTCTACAAAATGGTTAAGATCAACCTACCCTTTTCAAGACGACATTCTGCTACTTCTAACTGCTAGCCAAATTATTAAGTCAGTTATTGAGTAGTATTACACGTATGCTCTTTGCAACCTATTTTGAACAGCTCAAGTTCTTTCTGCATTTTATTTCATACTGATTTCTTTTAAGAACAACCAAGTTAGATATGGAGATATCACAAGACTTAAAAACCCAAATTGCCCTGCAGAATTGATATATTATCCAATTTGCATTATACTATTTGTGAAACTTATTAAGTCTTGTCTAATTTGCTATCTCTACGTGATTCAAATGTTTTAATTGATATATTCTTTTGTATTGATAATGTAGATGTCATCTACCTGTGAAAATAATAGTACTATTTGTGGGACTTCAAATGCCGTTCATACATCGACACCGGTGACAAGTGACCATGTGAGTCCTACTCCTGAAAATGTCGTGTCTCCACCAGGAACACTACCACCACCACCACCACCACCACCACCACGAGCATCCAAACGTGTAAGTTCTACTACTAGTAGTACTAGGAAGAATGCTTCTGATGTGTGGAACCATTTCTCTAAAAATGATTGTGAGAATAAGGAGAAAATGACGGCTTCATGTAATTATTGTGGGACTAGTCTTGGTTGTGCAAGTAAAAGTGGTACTACTGTGGTATGTAATCACTTAAACCGGTGTTATAAATACCCTTTTAATTTAGTGGACAAGAGACAAAAAACCTTAGTTTTTCAACAACTCTCAGGTGACTTTTCTAGTGGTGTTGCATCTACTTCCACCTCCACACCCCATTCACTTGTAACTTGGAAATTCGATCAAGATATGAGTAGACAGGCTATGGCTAAAATGATAATTATCGATGAGTTACCGTTTAGGCATGTGGAGCATGAGGGGTTCCGATACATGATGAGTGTAACACAACCGAGGTTTCAAGTTCCCTCTCGTACTACTGTGGCTAGGGATTGTTTGAACATTTATATTGATGAGAGACAAAAGTTGAAAAACTATTTTAGTAAATACTCTCATAGTGTTTGTCTAACCACTGATACATGGACATCTTGTCAAAATCTTAATTACATGTGTCTTACGGCTCACTTTATTGATGATGAGTGGAAAATGAACAAAAGAATTTTGAACTTTTGCAATTATAGCCATAAAGTTTAATTTGGAAAGTCAATTGAAGATGTTTGATTGATTGGGGTATTTCTAAGGTGTCACCGTGGACGGTTGACAATGCAGTTCTAACGATGTTGGGATAGCTTATCTTAAAAACCAGTTAGAACGTTGGAAGGAAGTGTGTTGAATGGTTCTTTTCTTCATATGAGATGTGTGCACATTTATTGAGTCTAACTATCAAAGAGGGGTTAAAAGATATGGATGACTCAATTTTAGAATTCGTTCTGCAGTGGTTGTCGGATATGTGGGTCTCCCAGCGAGATTACATAGGTTTAAGAGGTGTGAAGCAGAAAAAATTGAAACAAAAAGTCTTTTAGTTCTTGATGTAGAAACAAGGTGGAACTCCACTTACTTGATGTTGGATGTTGCTTTAAAATTTAGGAAAGCATTTGACTTGTTTGGAAATCCAAGATAAAAGTAGAGAGAGCTTACTAGCGAGGAAAGGTCAAGTTGTTTGCCTAACATATTGATTGGGAATATGCTTGATATTTTACCTTTTTTTAAGTTTTTTTATGATGCAACTCTCACCTGTGTCAGGTTCCCTTTAGTTACCGCTAATGTATACATAGAGGAGATATATGGCATTGGCTTGAAGATTTTGATATGGTGTACAAGTGATGATCCGAGCTTACGTTTGATGGTAGCGAAAATGAGAGGAAAACATGACAATATTGGGGAAATGTTGATATATTCAAACATAATACTATTCATTGCAGGAGTATTGATCCCAGCAAAAAGTTAAAATATGTATATTGGGCGCACCATCTCCACTGCTTTCCTAATTGGGGCAAACTCATTATACTCACCTTACGTTCGCAACCTCTAAAACTGTCCAACCAATGTTACTGGATCCAAAACAGCAAGTATATAACCAACAAAGTCATACTCCTAAATTCACCACTTCTATTTTTCCAACCCCCCCCCGCCCCCCCCTTGGTTGCTGTCCCCCCTCCTCTTTTTCGTCCTCTTCTCTTCCTCCGTCCTCTTCTCCCTCCTCTTTTTTTTCCTCCTTTTCTCCCTCTCGTTTTCCCCCCCTTTTTCCCCTTCCTCCTTTTCCCCCTTCTCCTTCCTTCCCCTTACCCCCCCCCCCCCTCTTTTTTCCCCCCCCTTTTTCCTCTTTCCCCCCTTCTCCCCCTCTCTTTTTCCCCCCTTTTCCCCCCCCCCCCTCCCTTCTCCCCTCTTTCCTCTTTCCCCCCTCCTCCCCCTTTTTTTCCCTCCCCCTCCCTCCTCCCCCCCTTTTTTCCTTCATTTCTTCCTTCCTCCCCTTTTTTCCTCCCTTCTCCTCCTTCCTCCCCCCCCCCTTTTTTTTTTCCTTCCTTTTCCTCCCTCCCCCCCTTCCTTCTCCCCCCCCTTCCCCCTTTTCCCTTTTTTTCCCTCTTTTTTCTTTTCCTCCCTTCCTCTCCCCTTCCCCCCCCCCCCCCTTTCCCCCCCCTCCTCTTCTTCCTTCTCTTCCCCCTCCTTCTTTCCTCCTTTCCCCCCTCCCCCCTCCTTTCTCCCCTTTTCTCTCTTCTCTCCCCCCCTTTTCTCCTCCCCTTTCTCTTTTTTCTTCCTCTCTTTTTTCCTCCTTTATTCCTCCTCTACAGTTAACTTTTAACTCGTCCTCACTCTCTATTCTTTCTCATTCTTACTCCTGGACATGTCACCCTCATCTGACGGCATATTGGCTAGGGTCATAT